ATTAATCTTTATTGTAAATGAAACGGACCATAGAGTACTACTCAAATTTCATATTCTAAATGACAAGAAAATGTTAAAAAAATACATTTTCCAAATCAAAGTTACTAAAAATGTGTGCATTTAAAAGCGTGTGCATGAATGCATAAATAAGGCATGTAATATATACTAAAGAAGCATTATTTTTTTCATTTATAACATTTTTTTCTCCTTTTTAATGTATTACCTTTTAGCACAGATACATTAAGAACTTAAGTACCTTTTATAGACTTTTCCCAATTAATAATTAACTTAAACTAATAATATAAATTAATTTTAAAATTCATAAACCAATGTAAATATTATTTAAAAAATTAGAAACCAAACTAACATTACCCTTTTATTTAATTATAGTTTTGAAACAAAAAAAAAGAAATAAAAAAACCAAAACAAATTAACTATATAATTTTGGTTAGAGATTAAAAATTAGAGATCTATTAATACTCACGCTTGAAGTTGTTAAAAAAGAATTGGAGAATATGATATTTTTTGTAACCTAAATCTTATGATTTTAATAATACATTAAATATAGTAATTTTCAATATTACTTGAGCTCTTTTTTTGAATGCTAAATATTATAAATTTAATAAAATGTTAGATATAGTAAAATACGATATTACTTCCCTTTTAAATGAATTTTTTACTTATATTATTCAATTTTAAATATGATTCAATTTTCCCATCCACATGGTATTTTTAGTGACAAATACCATGAGTCGCTCTCAAGTTATTTGGGAAAAATCATGGAAGCACTTAGTTGACGAGGTTTATTTGATCGAAGAAGAATATTGCATTATCAATGTGTTTTTTAGAAAAATATAGTTTTATTTTTTAATAAATATCAATATGAAATGCATGGTCGGTGCATATACAAAACTCTATAATTGAGATATGAGTATAATAAATTTAGTCATATTTTAACTATTTTTTGTAGAACTTATTTCCCTATGAGATGTAAAGAATTTGTGATTGATTAAAATTGAGAGAATGTCTAATTCAAATGGATGACCTTTGAAGGATTTTAGTGGTATGTCATTCCGAGACGACAACCCACTTAACAAATTTGAAAATAATTTCTTGGTAGAGGAGTTGAACTATGATAAATAAAAGTTATTATCTGATTTTAGCTGGTATTAATCTATAATGAATGAAGGCCCGTGGAAGATAGGGAAAAAGGCTAAAGTTGGAGTAAAAATTGAAAATATAACAAAATAGGAGTTCTATTTTTTAATTCCTGAAATAGGAGTTAAAATGCATTTGCGGTAGCAATCATTGTGGTCAATTTGTAAATTGTAGATGCTACAGTCAAATATTTCATATTATGGTCAATTTGTAAAGTTTTTATGTTGACTAAAAATATGGGACTACATTCATCGACTTTCTCTTGCGTAGATAGGGACAAACGTGCTTTTTTTATTGGAAAATTAAATTCAGAGATTGAAAGCTATGTGAGGTAATTGATGGAGTTATTGATGTTGCGATCCCCCTAAATTTTTTATTTTTGACAAAAGTTATCCTATCAAGAGTATAATACGTTGACTTTACTTATCCAAACATATAAGAGAATATGAACAATTATTCTTTTTTAAGCATTGGACACTATTAGCCCAACTCTCGAGGTAGTTGAAATTTTATATAAAATTTGTCATATCTCTAATTCGGGATGATGAAAAGGAGTACTTGAATTTTGATTCTTCATGAGAAGGAAATGGAGATGTAGGTGTTGATGCCGATTTAATAACAATTGATTTTTAAATGAAATCAAATATTCGAGAATCTCAAGCCATAAAATAGTTTTGAAAAAAAGGGCTACCAATTATATATGCTATTGAGAAACATTGACCAAATATCTGAATTGTGTGATGAGACAAGACTAATCGTTGAAGAGCTACGAAATAATGTTATCGGTGCAATTGTGGTTTCGAAAAAAAGAGTCAAGAAAAAAGTTTACATACCTAGAATGAATTTTATATCATCTGATCCACGATTACTTTTAAAGTTTCAGAAAAGACAATTCTCAATGTTTTATGTTTTGCTATGACTTTTAACAAAGTCAAAGTCAAACATTATCATTTGCGGTGCTTTTTCACGAGTAAAAAGAAAGGTATAATTGAAAATATTAGTTCTAGATGATAACAAAAATCCTTGCAACTACACCAAAATTGTTGTATACCCAAAAGTCTTTCAAAATATAAATTTAGAAAATCTTTGAGATGTTCACTTTTGAATTTTCTTATAAGAATTTTCATTACCAAATATTTAATACTAAATTATTTATTTTATTTTGTTTTTAATGTCTATAGTAATAAAAAACATATTATATATATTTTCATAAATTCAATTCAAAATATTGCATTGAAGTTAATTTACAGAAGTGTTAAAAATTTTGTCCAACCCCGTGCGTTGCACGGGTTAAAATACTAGTATATTATATATATAAAATCCTTTATATATATAAAAGAGAGTTACATTCTTGTGGTGATGACACCTGTCATGCCACATGTAACTCACAAGACACATGTCACTCCACACATGCATATTTAATTTTGCATTTAATTATTATTTTTATTATTTAATTTTAAAAATTATATAAAATTTATTAATTAAGAAAAAAATGTTTCTTATAATCTTTAAACTATCCAGCATCTCAAAAGAAACTATTATATATAAATTTTATCACACATGCATCTTTATTAATTTCATAACATATTTCAATTTTTGTCTTATTTACGTGGCAGATGACTTGTTAAAAAAATGCCAAGTGGACCGCCACATGTAAAAATTCTGTGAGACGAGTCCCAAATATTATAGTAAAGGATGATTGACTGAATGTAATATTTATATATATAATTTGGGAGTTGAGATTTTAGAATGACGACATTTGGCATGCTGACCGAATATTTTTTAAACACCTCAAGAGTCATGTTATCATTGACTTCTATGTATTTTTTTATGCATTGCCTTTAAGGCTATTTTTTTAGGGATGACCTTTACTTCTTTGTGCAAGATCAGATTTTCTCTGTTTCTTCTTCTGCAAAATTGATTGGAAGAATTTATTTATGGTATTAATTGTTACAAATGTATGTGTTATGTTAAAAAAATGTTCTTAAATACTAATTGCTATATTCTTGGTTAAAAATTAAGTATTATATTTTGATACATGCTGTATTTATAAAAATACATATAATTTGAAAACTACTCTGTATATAAGTTATTCATTGTTAAAAGATATAAAACTTTTTATATCTATGTGCTTAAAGATAATATTACGAATATGTAAAGGCAAATGAGTTATACATGGCCCCTAATGCCTTTTTAAAAATAAGACATGCCTTATTTATATAAAAATGCAAAAAAAATTATCATCTTAGAACTTAACATTAATTTTTACAAACTTTTGTATTCTTGGAAAAAATCACTAGCAATTCGAGTTTGCAAAAAAAATAAACAAACATTAAATTCATATTCAAAACAAATAGAAATATGTAGGTGGAAATTATTTGAAAGAAATGAATAAATGATATTCAAATACTATTTTCCAAAAAACAAAAAAATGTAACCCTAATCTTTTAATATTTCTTAAAAAATAAAATATATACTGCATATATTAAAAGATAAAAAATTATAAATTGATAAACAATGCATTTTTATTATATAACAAATGTCTTATAAATATTAGAGTGAAAAAATAAAACTCACTAACAATTTGACTACACTAAAAATACAAAATGCCGATTAAATTAATGTAAGAAATTGATGCCGATTAAATTGATGGCCTTTAAGGCTTAAGCTATTAATGAATAAAAGGTTTAAACATGTCTAATATATGTGTTTATACCACGAAGGTTAAAAGGCAAAAAAATTATATATGATCCCCATTGTAATGTTTATTGCATAGCACATGACTTATTTATATTAAAAGGGAAATAAATGATAAAAGAGAAATTTACCTAAATAGGACTAAAACATAATGACTTTCCCAATATAGGACCATATGTTTTTATTTCCCAATGTAGGACCTTTGGTCATTATGAAGTAGTCATTATTCAAGTAAATGTCCATCATTACTGGACATTATTCCTTCCACTAGGTCATTATTAAGTCTTATTTAGGGAATAAAAAAGTTTAAGTCCTACATTAGGAAAGTCATTATGTTTTAGTTTTATTTAATGCAAATTTCACATGATAAAAAGCATTCATGCACACCTCAATTTTTAGCTTCTTTGAGGTTAACATTGTTTTTCAATTACTTCTACACTATTGAAATAGAGGCCGGTTCCAGAGCCACTGGAATCCAGTGGCTACGGAAGCCACTGCCCCCCTACGGAGCTCCGTTCATGAAATTGATGATTCATACCCCCCTAACCCCCCGGTAAACCCCCCCGCCAAGTCTCGATCCAAACTACTCCCCCACCTACGTCAATTGCACCTTGCAAGTATAATTGGCTTTAAAGTCAAAATTTTTGACTTTATACTTACGAGGTGCAATTGACGTAGGTGTGGGGAGTAGTTTGGGTCGAAACTTGGCGGGGGAGTTTACCGGGGGGTTAGGAGGGATAGGAATCATCAATTTCATGAACGAAGCTCCGTAGGGGGGAGTGGTATCCGTAGCCACTGGATTCCAGTGGCTCTGGAACTGGCCTCATTGAAATAATCCACTAGCAACTTGACTTCACCAAAAAATGAATGATTGTAAAACGATGTAAAAAATAGCTGATATTTATTTGAAACGGAAAAATAAATCATATCCAAACTTTGGTGGAAAATAAGGTTACATATTAAATTTTAAATAAGAGAGGAAAACTTTGGCAAAAAATAAAAATGTTGTATGATTTTCATATGCATAGAATAATGTACTATTGATATAGAATCATATGTAATTAAATGTTATAGAATTATATAGAACTAAATGTTATTGAATCGTATACATTAAATGTTATATTTTTTTTCTATGTATTTTTTAATAAATCATATGTTATTTATGAATACAACATGTAATTTTTAACCAAGAATATAGCTAGACTTTGGTGGAACATGTTAAGTTTGATAACATAATGTAAGGATCTAAACAAATGAACAGACGTATGAACAAATGATTGATTATTCTATTTGATGATTGTAATTGCTGATTCTTCTGATATTGTACATTACCAGAAACAGTTTTAAAAAAATGTGCACAAAAAATTTGATATGAGAAAAATAGTTGGTGATTTAACTGGTTTAAGTGGTCAATGCATCAGGAAGGGTTGTTCTAGCTCCAAGTACTTTGCCTCCAACATCTGGGAAGTTGTCATATCCTGGCAGAGGGCTTAATTTTCCATCGCAATCTACTTCCACAGGGTACTTGAGAAGATGACCCTGTAACGGGGCAAACTTCGCAGCTGTGTATCTCTCCCAGTTATCTCGTGCAATCTTGTTGACAAAGGTAACACACCCTAACTTTGCAGGCTCGTTGAATATAGGGTCTATCATCCCCATGTGCTCTGCCCAGAGTGACATTCTGTAACCATAAACCTGTTCATTTTATAAGTTAGATCAAACACGGCATCGTGTTTTAGTTGTTTTATGTTCATGAAATAACTGGGAGAGTGACACAACAATATGATGTTGGTAACGAAAGGGGGGCGAGCAGGTCCTTCGTACTATGGCATTGTTCTTCCCGTTTTTTTTAGCTCTGCCCTTCTCAGACGCTACGTTCTTCAGTTCTTGTAAATCACACTTTATATAGCACATGGTTTATGTTGCACAACAAATGGAAAGAAAAAATGGTAGAAAATGTAGGGAATATCTTGATGCTTTTACTGTGGAGTTTGAGGGCTCGGGCCGCCCGGCAAATGTAACTCTAGTTGTCTTGTAACTGTGACTGGATTTGCTCACTGACCTGGCCATGGGGATGTGTTTGCTTGCTTGCCCATGTGTGATGGGGCTGATATGCACCCATGGAAATCTCTGTGTCTCTCGAACCAGCCATTGATCGTTGGTTGATGTTAGCAGAGCCCAAGATGATATACTCGTCGTCGACAATCATTCCCTTGGCGTGCACATAGATCATGAACCTCCCGGATTTCTGAGAAGCCGTAATCTGAGTGCAATTTCATAAAATGCAGTACCATTAGATAATTTGAGCAAAAGAAAGATTCAATTTATTACGTAGTAATATAAGATGGTGAATGTGAAAGGCCATTACAACAACATCGCTGTTTCCAGAATGCTGAGAGGACAAACATGATGTTTCTTCATTACATTTTTCAAGTTTGCCCAGACAGTAGAAATTCAGATAGTCACATGGATGTGAGCCCTCTAGGTTTTCGGATTTCAGTTCCCGAGCAATCAGTTCATACATCATTTGCATCGTTTGGCCCTGCAAGAGTAGGAGATTTTTTCTTCACAAGCTATGTAGAAGATTGTTTCTTGGGGCCTTACACTGATGTAGCGATATGAATCTAATTCAAAGTAGATAATGTTGGAACAAAGTTTTATGTTAGATGAATCATTAATAAGAAACTCTTTGGTTACACATACGAGTAAAATTTTTTTTTTTTAATCAAGCTTCAAGTTTTTTCAAGGTAACTACTAGTATCATGAAACACCTGCCAATAAAGGATTTCTTGAACAGGAGCAGAATTGGGAACACCTTCAGGCCACATCGGGATTACAATATAGACTGTGAATCTCTCTTTATTCCGAATTTTACTTGCAATTTTAAGTGCAAGCTCCATTGGGATCAAGTTATCCGCACCTAAGACAGGTCCATTCATTGTATATGGTAAGACAAGTTCATGTGACAAACTCACAGAAGTAGTTCTTCAATAATCACACATTGAAAAGTCAATTTCAATTTTCCCAAACCATAAGGGAAGGATAGATAAGATACTAGCAAGTCCTAAAACCTGAATCCTTGTAAGAAGGCCAAGCATATGATGATCCGAGGAAATACTGATTTTCAATGTAAACAAAATGCTGGGCTCGTCTTATTGCTTGGATGTATGCCATTTGGATGCTCCTATCAATAACTAAATCTTTTGCGCAAACTAGATTCTGTAGCAATAGAAAAGGCGATATTTACTGGCCTATACAGCTATCATGTGAAACAGAGTATGAGGGAGAGACATAAAGATTTTTTTTGAACATAGTATAATATGCAACAATCGTGCACCTGCGAATTGGCGGTTTGAACATCTTTAGGGAACCCTTTCAAAGATCCTGAGTCTATGGATCTGAAAACCTGTCAAACGTTTAACATATAACACAAAATCAATAAGACTTGTACTAAAACTAAGCTTTTACTAAGACAATTTTATTATAACATGCAGGAACATACTAGTTACTCCTGCACATGCCAACAGTGAGTGTTTTCCTTCATTGTGGAGTAACTAGTACTTTCCTGCTTGCCAATTTTCTGGATGATCATCCTTCATTGTACTATTATGCGGAATATGGCGAGTAATTTGCTAAAGAGATGTGTAATTTCGTATAAAAAAGTACGGAGTAGTCAACATTAAAAAAAAATATTCAAAATGAAAAGCGTAGTTATATACCCGACCTGAACATGCCAATTTTCTGGATCTTCCTCACTGGTAATCTACAATGAAGGATCATCATTTGGAACAGAAGAAGAAGGACTAGTTATCCATGAGATCCGCTCTATTTTTAATAATGCATCATCATGCCAGTGAGATATCTTCTTAAAACGCCTCCCTAACTCTGCCCATTTGGAGGCTTTTCTCCATCGCTGCTCAAAGTTTGTGAGAACATCGTATGCAGCAGGCCCTTCAATCTTGCAATGCAGGTCATGCCATGGCTGTCTTGGTCCCTTTACTCCCCCTTCCTATCAGAGTTTTATCTTGTCGACATCAAATCGAAAAACATATTTGCCGGGTAGATCCAATAATGGCTTCAAATTTTGTAAAAAAAAAAAGAGAATGGGGGCGGACAGGCCAAAGCATCTTAAGATTTTGGATTATTGGAAGAGTGGCTTACTGGGAATGTAGGATTGTGGTAGTCACCCTTGAAAACTGTGTCAAGGTCAGAAAATAATCTGTGCTGGGGGGTATCGTATCGTCCATCACATAGGTCTAGACCTCCAATAAAAGCTGTTATTTTCCTATTGTTTCCTTGTGATTGTGCATCAACAATTACACACTTCTGATGGTGTGTATAAAGTGTCCCTACCACCTGGTTGTTAAGCATGTAGGTAGAGAAGCAATGAGCTAAAATAAAGAACGATCTTATTAGCTGGTGGTTTGTTGGCATCAACGTGACAATGCCTAGTAAAAACATATATGGGGAGAGCCCTGCCTGTTGCTTGAATATGCTGAGTTTATTACTTGGATAACGAGGTGCGAGCACGCACGTAACAGATGAATGCTTGAAAAATTTCCGAGTTTCTTCGTCGTGTGTCCCCATTAATCCAGTCTACAGTATATAATAATTACCATTAGCAGCTAGCACACATTTAGGTTTTCTTAACCTAACTCATGATTCATAAATCATCATAAACAAAGGCGCAATAATAAAACAACAGTTTTATTTAGGAATTGAAGCGGATGAAAAATTACGTACTGTAATACACTCATATCATTACCGTGTTGATGAAGAACTTGCTGTGAGAAGTCTTGTCATCCCAAACCAAAAGGAGCACCCTAACTCCTTCCTGGGACTTGTACTTGAGCAGCTCTCCGAGGTTCAAATTCCCTCCGTTAGGCAGCGGCCTCGTGGGCTCCCTCACAAGCCTCACCTTGTGATAAATGGACCACCCAACTATGTAAACCAAGTGATGCGCTTCGAGAATGGCATGGCAAATGTCTTCCCAACAGTTTTCGTGTCGAAAACGCTTTTCCTCTTCCAGAACGATCTCCGGTACCAAGCCGGCCGTGTGTGCATCCTGGTAAAGCGTCACTGCACCTCCGTGCCTCACCGGGAAGTAGCTCTCTTTCAATCCATAGCTTTTGTGGTAAAGGGGGTTGTTGTGGTGGAATGGGGTGAATTTCATCCATAGCCGGATGGCGGTGTTGGGCTTTGGAGGTTTCCCGCAAGCCCCGTTGATTGGGAACCATTCTTCAATGACCTCCCCCGACACGACCTTCCGGGCCGAGACCTTTGCCACGCCTATGAAATCCGCCCCGAACACGTCGTTGTCCTTCACCTGGAATTCGACCTCGCGGACAGGGTGAGCCAGAGGGATCATCTTGAAGTGCTCGTCCCAGATGGGGTCCTGAGAATTCGGGATCACTCGAGTGCGCGCCACCGTGGCGCCGGCGAGGCACACTTTGACGTAAGGGTCGCTGGTGATTATCTTTGCAGCATGGCGATGTGTCGTCACCCTTCCTGGTTTCCGGCAGTCCAGAGCCGTTAAAAATCTACGGATGCGCTCCGAAATTAAATCCATATTTGGCAACCCTCGAGCCTCGATAATCTTCAGCTCCAGATCCCCATGGAGGTAGACGATATTGTTATTATCAGAATTTTCATCTGATGACATTTTCGTTGACAAGTTACATTCGACCACGTCGATGAGTAGTGAGATTTTGCATGCACAATGAATTTATTCTTTGATCGGTGACTGAAACTGGATGCTATGATGCGGCAGTTGGCAGAGGACGGATCGGAGGAGGAGGAGGAGATGGGGAATGTCTTTCTCCGCCACAGCCAACAGCCGGTGGTGCGCCGGTGTATCTAATATAATACTCCGTATCCAAATTTTATCGATCGAACTACTATTCTATCACCACAAACATCACATACTACCTCCGTCTATATTTGTCCAGTTTTGACTTTTGTAAATATTCATCTAAACACTTTGACTCATCAAATTTTCTCAATGTCTAAGCCTAAATATAGTCATGTGTGATCTTGTTTGATTTGTCTTAACATATAGATTAATAATATATAATTTCTATAATTTTTTAATATACAAATTACAAGATAAAATGGATTAAAGAAGTGCATTGGATGGCGTGTAAAAATGAAAGTGGACAAATACTCTGGGACGAAGGGAGTAATTTGTTACATTCCCTTGTGTTAAAATATTTAAGTTTTTACATAATCTAATCGTCTCAATTTAATTAAAGTTTTCCCAATTAAGTTCATGTTCAATGAATTTATACTCTCTCGGTTTTTCAATTTATTGTTCAGGGTCGAACGAAATTTATGTTGATTTAAAAAAAAAAATTCACTGTAACATCTTTTCAGAATGTAGAAAGTATACTTCTTACATGATTTTTAATAATATGGACAAAAATTTCAAAGTAGAATAAATAATATTTGAAGAATTGATTTTGTACTCAACAAAGTTTGTTTTAATATCCAATTTTCTAAAAATGTTCAGGGTATACAACATTTATGGTATAATTGCAAGGGTTTCCATTTTAACTAGAACTAATATTTTTAGTCATGTATTTGTCTTCACTCGTGAAACAGTAACATAAAGCCGAACATGAGTAAATACCGACTTAGTTAAAAATAAACCAACAAACGATAATGTTTGACTTTAACTTTTGTTGAAAGTCATTGCAAAACATAAGATTATTGGAAATTGTCTTCCCTATAACTTCAAAGGTAGACCTAGATCAGAAGGTTCCAAATTCATCTGGGTATGTAAATTTTTCCCCCGAGTCAATTTCCCGAAATGACAATAGCACTGATAACGTTCTTTCATAGCTTTTCAACTATTAATCTTGAATCATTACACAATCTAAGTGTTTGGTCAATGATCCTCAATAATATAATTTGTAACACCTTAATTCGTCCAGGTCTTCAGCCCCTTTCACACTAAAGTATAAACTTGGAAATCATAAAATTTAAAACATTTTAAATATCTTTATTTATCATAAATAATATTCAATACATAAACTGTAGTAATACAAAGTGTTTAATAATGCGTAAGCGAATTAAAATATGTCACAATTAATTATTTCAAGACTTTTGAAATCATAACTCAAATTAATGTCACATCCATCTTGACAATCTCGTCCCATCTCCCACTAGGAATTCATCTCTTCATTCTTTTTTTACCTGCGTGTAGCAAATAAAACATATTACACGCTTAGTGGTGAAGCTGAGTAAAGATATTTAATGCATCGAACATCCACATAAACTGAATCTCAATTCATAATCAAATCATTTGATATCATGCACATAATATTCAAGCATTCATCATACATGATATTGACAATATTTTAATTCGAGTCATTTCATGATATATACAATATTCAATATTCAGTATTTCAACAATGCTCTTAAATTATTCTTAATCTAAGACCAAATCATTTTGATAACAAAGATGTAATACCCCAAATATTATCTGTTGTTATTGTTTATAGTTTTAGAAACAACGTTTTATCTATCGGTATTGATATATATATATATATATATATATATATATATATATATATATATATATATATATATATATATAAACGTTAAATATATATATTAACGACTATTAGGATTCTGCCGATACTTCTCTATGAGATTCAAGACTCTCTTAATATTTATAGGGATTGGGTTTAGGTTCGTAATTAAATTAGATTTTGCGATAGGAGTGGAATTTTAGATTCTACTATTGGATTTTTGAGTCAAGTGTCTGGCAATTAAGATTGGATTGATAAATCTAGCATTTGTGCATGTGTTATATACAGAGTACTTTTGTTAGACTTATTAACTTTGTTTTATACTCCCTCCGTCCCCCTAAGATGTTCTCATTTTGACTTTTGGTGGTATTTAGGGAGAGTTGAAAAAAGGTGAAAGTTTACCATAATACCCTTAATGAAAAATGGATAGAGTGTATTAAATGAGGTGGGTGAGGTGTAATAAATAAAGTGAGGGTAGTTGTAGTATTTTAATTGTTAAAAATTGAAATGAGAAGATCTATTGTGGATATAGAAAAAAGGCTATTGAGAAGATTTATGGGGGACGGAGGTAGTATTAAATTGCATATCATTGGGTAATGTTGTGATTTTGGACTGATTTGTTTTTATGATTTGATTTTAGAGTCTAATTATAAGAAAAAGACCAATAAGCAAACATATTTTTAAAATGGGGCCCAATTTATAATTTTGATACTCCGTAAGTTTTAATGTTTAGAGGGCCGGATGTGGGGACATCGTGGATTGCAAACAACGCGGGGTTCGGCCACTTCTTTGATCGATGGATTTGGACAGAGGGCTCGCAATTTCGATCGGAATTGGGCACGAAGACAGACGAATCTGGGACGGAGTACTTCTTCGACGCTGGGTGGTTCTCCGATTGCGACATCAGCGGTGGACAAAAGCTCCTGGTGGCGAAGCAGAGCCAAACCTCCGACGAACCCTAGTTTTCGTCGGATAGTCGTGAACGAGGGCTGATCCGGTCTTTTTTATGGTTGGTTATACATAAGATCTTCATTGTGGTAATTGTACATATATAAATTGTTTTTAGGGAATCTACTGGGGTTGCTATTGTTATAAACTGTTTTGAGGTTTAAGAGTGTAAAAGATTTGAATTTCAGCAGGTTATTCACTAGGGTTCATCTCCAATTTGCTGTGCAGTGTGAGTACTTCTTAGATTTGTTTACTCTACTTTAGTGTTCATTGTTGGATGACTTTCTTTTAATATTGATGTGTGCTTGTCTTATGGTTTTGTTTCTTGAAATCATGAGTTGCTAAAAGCTAATTTGGTGTTCATTGTTGGATTAGTTTATTTTCACTAATTTCTTAGATTTTTTTTACTAAATTGTTATGAGTACAACATGATTGATAATTCATGTATCATATGGGATGCAAACAAAGGTGAGTTAGAAGCATGAATTTCATTTTGTTCCATGAAGCAAAGAATAACATTGAATTAACCCTAGTACTGATTTTCCAGGTTGTGTTCATCAGATTCTTCACGGGCATTTCCACTATGTTGAAGGAGTTACATAGGACTCATTATCCAAGTATGTTGCTTCACTCAGCTCAGATAGATCATGTCGCATTTACATAAACAAGCCATCGAGAACCAAAGGAGTCGAGAAGATGAATTTTGTTTGTCACCATGCTGTGGCCAAGATAGACGCGGGGACAGTAGACGAATCTAAGGTGAGGGATTCATTTGACGCTGCTATCTATTTGATGATAGATACTCTATTGTAATGAGCTTCTGTATTCAATGAACTGCAGGCTGTTAGAAGTCATCTTTTTTTTGATGAGACACTGCCATCATTCTTCCCAAGATTGTCTTGGTCACCTGATGGATCATTTTTAGTTCATTATATAGTTTAAAGTTGTGCCACCGAGGATGAGTGTAAGGTAAATTTGGTGCAAAATTTATAATTATGTTATCATGTGCTTATATATTTTTTTTTGCATAGAGTTCAACGGCTAATCAATCTGAAATCAATGACATTACAATTGATGGTAATACAATCACTGAGAAAAGTCATGATGAGGATCGATGGAACAAAGATGATGAAGCTGAGGGCAGTGAACTTGAAGATGTAAACAGTGACGAGCATTAAAGCTTTGGACTATATCTTCCATATCAATGCGTATTTTAATTTTGTTCAATTCACTTTGACTGTTTATACGTTAGCTTGAAACGTACCCAAATGATGAACTAATTTTGAGGTGTTGGTTTACTTTCCAGTAAATGGGTTAGTTGTAACCCTTTGAAATGTTATCGTATTATGTATTGTTGTTAATACAAGTATGAGTATTACTTTTTATTTGTCAATGAAATTCTTTCATATCACTTAAATAGAGCATGCCGGAGTGAAACATGATATTAGTAACAGTTATAGTAAATGTTAATGTTGGTGAAAATAGACTATTACTGACAGAAAAAAATGTTTTACTCACACAATTTTTTGTGGGTAATCAAACTTTTAGCGACAGTTATAATAAACGTTAATGTTGGTAAAAACAAGGTATTACCGACAGAAAAGAAGGATTTACCTACTCTCTTTTTTGTCGGTAATCCATGTTTTAGTGACATATATGTTTTGTCGATACTGCTATCTTTTTTAGCGACATCTTTGGTCTGTCGCTATTATACTATTTTAGCGACAGTATATTTTATCTGTCGGTAATACTTTTACTGACGGAGTATTTAGCGACAGCCTAGCGACAGGTAAAAGCAAGTAGCGACAGATATTCAACCTTTAGCGACATATTGACCCCTGTCGGTATTGCCTCCTTTTTTTGTAGATATGGCCAACTGCTGTTGTAATATCTTAGATATTTTCTTAGATACTCCCCCATCCTAAAATTAACTTCCCATTTTACTTTTCACGGTCTCCAATGCGACACTTTGACCATCAATATCTCAATTTTTATATAAATATATTGTATAAAAATTATATATTTCAAAACTATGTTTCAAAATGAATCTATTGTTAGTAAATTTATATGAAAATTCAATGTATTTTTTCCATAATATACGGTCAAAGTTTAAAAAGTTTGACTACAAAAGTCAAACTGGAAAGTTAATTTTAGGACGGAGGGAGTATCATGTAAAGGCAAATGTAATAAGTTTACAAACATATCATGCTAATGTAAACTTTTAATTGCATTCCTAGAATTATATTATAAGATGTTTATCAGAATGAGTCTTCTGATGTTGAGACTGACATTTGTCACTTAGTATAATCTAAACGGTCTATAGCCGAAGCATTGACAAGAGTGGGATATGGTTAGTGCGTGTGAGACTAGTGAGAGTTAGATGTTTGACCTAGTCTCTTGGTTAATGACGGAGTGTTCGCATTTATTCTCGGGCAAATATTATCGTTAATAATAAGATGACAGACCTGACCCACCTTAAGGATATTGCCTAGACTTTTAGTCTATGCTCTAAGTGTCCTTAATGCGACTATTGGTGTAACGATCCTTAGACTTGAAGTATTACGTTCTTCAAATGCGTGAACCCATATGCTTTGATTCATTGTCCTAAGCCGTATGAAACAAAGATTGTACACAGGCTTTGCATTGGGCATGCCGTTGCGCGTATTCGAAGACGAATATTACGTACAAAGAATTTGTCACTGCTACATTAGTAGAATAATGTCTTGACGAGGCCCACTGCTACATTTGTGTGCATTTTATTTTGGAGTGTCATTTTAATTATGAAAATAATTATTTTGACAAAAACTATTTTAAAGTATATTTTATATACTTGTTTTAAAATGTTTTTGGTATTTTATTTTATATCATAAAAATTATTGGTATCAAATAAAATACACTTTGAAAATTTGAGAGGAGAGGAATTACATTCTTCCCCCTTTCAACCTTTCGTACTATGCATGAATGATGGATCATGGAGCTTTGTCTCCCACTTTAAAATGAGTGGAGGAGAAAAATTTGACAAAACATTATTTTGCCCTTTTATTATTGTTAACGTATTTTTCTTCTTTAATTAAAATGAAATCATTTTTTTACTCTCCACTACAATATTTCGGCCAAGAGGGGAGAAGAGAGAGAGAGAGAATAATTTGGGTTCCAAAATTTATTTTAGGTGTAGAAAATTATTATAATATTTTCTTTAAAATATTATTGATGTATTTTCTACTATTTAATATACAAGATTAAAACTATCCCTCTTAAATCTTTATATTAAAATATACTATTATAATCTTTACTAGCATAATGGTTATAATAGACTCCGGAGATTGTTCGTGTGTCAAAGTTGGACGCTTGAACGGCTACGTTTGCTCATTCAACGCCTTCCCACAATTCAACGTTATTACCGCTAACTGAAGAAGGTATAAATTTCTATCTCTAGCTATAGTTTTAGTACGTGTTCTTAGGCTTGTAATCACTATTGGGAGTAAATTTTTGTATTTCTGCTGCCCTCCCATCCGTGGTTACCTTTCAATTTTTTTCAATATATTCAATAATCAATATTTAGTATTCATCATTCATTATTCAACATTTATATTCATATTCAATATTCATCAGTCATTCATAATATTCACAATATTCAATTCAAGCCGTTTCACATTCATGATATTCACAATATTTAATATTCAATAATCATCATTCAATATTCAACATTCATATTCAACATTCAGCATTCACATTCAACATTCACATTCAACGATATCCTTAAACTTTTCTTAGTCTAAGGCCAATCTCTTGTAATGTTTACCAACCCTTAAACGAATTCTAGTTTAATATTCTTAAACTATATTCCAGTTTGAGATACTCCTAACCAACCCTTTAGCTAGGCCTAGTTTAAGATACAAATTTTCAAAAGAAGTTTTCAAAATCTTAAACTTACCTTCGCTTAAGGTCAACTAGAAACTGAACAACGGAATGCTCACTGTCGTGTTGGGTGGTATCTCTAAATGAGTGATCCCTAAACGAGTGATACTCTAATGATCCTCAACTAGATCCCGTACGTACGTTTTAACCCAGGCCACCGAATATTCATATTATACTCGCAAGGCCTATTTCTAATCCATCTTAGAGGTCTTCTAGATAGTATTAGCAACCAATGTCAACATGAATATATCTTAGAGTTTTTTTAGATATCGTTACAATACAAATCATTTCATAATCATCAATGTAATCATTTTAAATCATTGTTCAGTCATTCATAATAACCATTTCAATCAGTACGTTCATCATAATTATCAATCAACATAACATTTAAAAGAAATTAGCGGCCTATCTTCGAGCATTAACATCCTAACTTACCGTCATGCATCACGTAAGGTTCTTTTTAGTTGTCAAAACATCATTTTTATTCGAGTAAGTTCCATAATTGGTCCTTTATAACAGGGGGGTTTCCATATTTAGACCTCTGTTATTAAATATTACCCCCGTAGTCCTTTTTTAAGGGCGCCTTTCCACAAATGGTCCTTTTTTGATCTTCTGCCATGTTAGTGTTAATTTAAAGGCTAAAAGTATAATTTGACATCAACATTATGTCTAGTGACGTGTTCTGATATTGGTTAAGCAGATAACACAAAAATAATGACTATGATTGTGGGCTAGGATTCCAACGAAAGACCACATTTGTAGACTATGATTGTAGTAGAAAGCAACTATAATTTACAAACGATGCAAACGGAACAGCCTTTGGAATTGTGTATGACAAAAACGATATATTATGATTGTGAAATTACACGTTTAGCCCTCAAATTAACACCAACATGATAGAAGATCAAAAAAGGACTATTTGTGGAAAAATACCCATAAAAGAAGGACCACTTGGGTAATATTTGATAATAAAGGACTAAATAGGGAAACCTTCCTGTTATAAAGGACCAATTATGGAATTCACTCTTTTTATTCCAAGAAATCATCTTTATATTAATCATAATTGATTGGTATCAAAAATAGGATTTTAGAGCGCAAAAATAGCATTTTCAGAATCATTTTTGGAGCAGAACTTTGGGGATCGATCTAGTAGTCTGGATCGATCCAAACTATAAAAAACACACTAGGGGATCGATCCAATGGGGTGGATCAATCCAGCATGTTGATTTTCAGCCACTATTCATCTTCTTCAACCTTCGGTCCATTTTTCGGAAAAACCATTTTTAGTCACCGAACTTCAATTAAACTATATTGAGATGTTCTCCAAGGTTCATAGATCATTTTGGTATCACTAATTCATAGTTTTAACAACAATTTCATGCTTTATGATTCTTGGTTCTTCAAGCATGTCAAACACAAAACTCAACCAAATGACAGTTTATGAACGTAGAAACAGTCTATACGAACATTCTAGTCACTAGATATATCAACGGGCTTTTCTCAAAGCTTAATGAAGGTTTTGAGAATTTTCCGGTGAAACTTCCGGCCACGATAGCTTATAACTTATAAACAAACACTTATTAAATAAACGTATTAAATGAAAACTTATGCTAATATAACAAGGGGGGTTGAATAAAAAGTCAATTTTTGTTTGTTTGTATATTTTCTTTATTTTTTTAGATTTTTTGATAAAATGGAGGAAAACAAACTCTAAAGATTATCAACTTCTCCAATTTAAGTAACCCAAGAAACACCGCCAAGAAACCCGAAACAAAATGAAAAAGAGAGCAAACATAAAATCGAACATTACACGTATAATAGGCACATAGACGATATATTACGTAACTTATGTACTTAAGAATAGGAAAAATCAATCAAAGACTAAGTCGATTCATTTCCTTAACCACGATATGGAGGATTGTCAGATCTCCACACGGCCTAGAGTCATGCAATTCAAAGGCCTGTTTTGAGATATACTTTTGAACCTCAACTCTCCCTTCAAGCATGAAAACATACTTCCACTATAGAAAAAGTTTATAAAAGAGAGAATCTATTATGCCTTCAACTCTCATACCTAATCTATTCACAAATTGCCAATACCTTATGTATTTTTATAAACTTTTTCTCCTAATGAAGAGCACATTTCACATATTTCCATGAACTCCTCAAACCAATGACCTCTTTTCTATTCACATAGAAGAACACAACATATTTTCAATAAATCAAGAATTGTTTTTATTGCACTTAAACAATATCAATTTTAATGAAAAATGACAAACAAACACACAATATAACAAAATCACTCCATAACAAATTCTAATGAAATTGAATCAACTTATGGGGCTAAGAAATCCAAATTCTTTAAAATCAATGAACACAAGGCATTCCAAAGAATCAAATATGAATTTGGAGTTCATTTAACTATCTTATGGAGCTAAAATAGCTTCAACAAAAACTAAATTCCACATACCAACCTACTTATGAATTTGAATTAACAATCCAACCAATTCAAAAACTTGTGCAATAATTGAAGTAAATAAGAGTGAATCAATTCTCATTCATAAGGATTATATATAATCATTTTAAAAAAACCAAAAAGAAGAACACCAACCATTTTTTTTAAATTTCTGAATTTAATAAACAAGCAAACAAAAGTAAAAAAATTGAATTGGACATAACACTTACATAAAAATTGGGGAAGAAATTGAACATAACAAAATATAGGGTGACCAATTTGAAGAAGATGATGAAAAGTGAAGAATGGGAGCTGCTGGAACCATAGTTGGTCGCCACCGCCATCGCCGCCGTCGCTGGCCACCGTCGAACTCTGACCACCGCTACTGTTATATCTAAGCTCAGGGTTTTATGGGTAATGACCATGCCTTAAGAAACACAACTCCTTATTTGCAGGGGGGGTTGATAATCGATTGTCCTAAATGGATAATTGATTGTCAAGGGGTTTAGGTTCTTGGGCAAACTTTCCAGGATTGTCAGGGAAGGGTGATAATCGAGTGACACTATTGAAGGCTGCGGGTAACTGGGGAAGGCTGATAATCGATTGTCTTAAAAGGATAATCGATTATTGAAGAATGCGGGTGTTTCACGAAGGATGGATAATCGATTATTATCAGTGACAATCGATTAGTTGGCGACTCGAGAAAAGAAAAGAAGTATTTTCTTGGAGAGGGGAACAAACCAAGTTGGTGTTAAGGGATATCACACACCCTTATCTTAACTTGGGGTTGAGTCTAGCATTCAAATAAGATATCACACACTTATATAAATAACTAGAACCTAAAACTCACACTCAAGAGAACCACTCTTAAGATATAGGATTAGGAATTTGGAATGAAACACACAAGTGAATCACTTTGATTAAAATTGGAATACAATGTGTTGCTACACCCAAGCCTATTGCTGAATATATAGAATTACATTGGAGGGAATAAGGGAAAATACAACTCAATTAAAATAATGCCAATGTACTTATGTTTCTTGAGTGGAATGAAATCAGGGATATGGACTGCTTGGTGGGGTTTTGGGCTGTTCTTAAGTGGCTGGAAATGTTGAGGGAAGGAGGGATGAATGGGGGGAGGGCTGAGGTTGAGGGCCAAGAAGTGGGGGTAAGATAATGTGGTACATTTGGCTGGGTATTTGTGGAGGTTATGGGGGAATTTGAGTTTGGTCGGGATGGGGAGGCAAAGGGGTGTTTGTGGGGTGTGTTATTTGGAGTTTTGTTGTAGGTTTGTTGTGGGGAGTGGAGGTATTATTCTGAAGGAAAATATCCTCGGGCATTTTCGGGTTGTGATTTAAGTGTATTGGGGAACATAATGGGGACCATGTTGGGTGTTGTTTTGGACACTTATTTTCGGATTTGAAAAAGAAAAGGGAAGGGAAATTGTGGCTTGGTTTGCTTTGGATTCTTGGGAATGGATTTTGAAATGTTGGGATTGGTTATTAAGGTGGTGATGGTTTCAGGGTAAGTATGGTTAGGGTGCATGGTTTGGTGATGATTTCATCCCAAAGGGGAGCATAACACTTGGAAATTATTCCATTGATTTGCTTAAGGACTTGATGGCGATTTGTGGTGCTCGGGGATATATCATCCTCCCCGTCTTCAGAAGAGTTTGTCCTCAAACTCGAAAGTTCTTCAGGGTCAAAATACGGGCTGGGATCCTTAACGTTGAATGTAGCAGAAACTCCGTAATCTCCAGGGAGATTGAATTTGTAGGCGTTGTCGTTGATCTTCTCCAAAACCTGGAATGGACCGTCGGCTCTTGGTAGTAATTTGGACTTACGTTTAGTGGGGAAACGCTCTTTCTGCAGGTGAATCCAAACCATGTCCCTGGGCTGAAAACTAGTGAATTTTCTTCCTTTGTTGATCCTGGTGCTAACTTTCTCATTTACCGCTTCAATCTTCTCTCGAACCTTGTCGTGGAGCTCTTGAATTTCCTTGGACCTTTTATCAGCTGCCCAACTGTATTGCTCTTTTCCTATAATGGGATCAAGCTCAAGTGGGGTGAGGGGGTTCAAGTATATACCACCATGAACGGGGATAGTCCTGTGGTCTTGTTTGGGGTCCGATTATAGGCAAATTCAGCGTAAGGCAGTAGCTCTTCCCATTGCTTGATGTTTTGTTTGATTAGAACTTGAAGGAGAGTTCCAAGCGTTCTGTTGGTGACTTCGGTTTGACCGTCAGTTTACAGATGGCTAGCGGTGCTGAATTTGAGCTTTGTGCGTAGCTTTCTCCATAATGTCATCCAAAAATGACTAAGGAATTTGGGATCCCTATCGGAGACCATGCTACGGGGTATGCCATGGAGTTTAACGACCTCTCGGAAGTAAATAAAGATCGGCTACTTGGGAAGCATCATATGTAGTAACGCAGGGAATGAAATGGGTCATTTTCGAGAATCTATCCACAACCACCATAATGGAATCTTTGCTTCGTTGAGTTCGGGGCAGCCCGGTAATGAAGTCCAGGCTAACATCTTCCCACGGGGCGTACGGGACGGGTAGGGGTAAGTGCATTCCTTTTGGTAAGGCTTGGGACTTCGCAAGTTGACAATCAGCTCAAAATTCTTCTGGAACAACAATTAGCATCGCAGAATCGGAAGATTGAAGAGATGCGAGTGGAACAACAGAAGATGTTCGAAAAAATGATGGAGATGTTTGAGAATTCCAGTAGCCCTGGTCGCAGACCTGATGCAGAATCCGTCGGACATGAAAAAGGTGAGAAGAATGCCTTCAAATTCTTACCTAAAATCGAATTTCCAGTATTTGATGGCACAAATCCACGAAATTGGATAAAAATGTGAACGGTATTTTGATCTCTGTAAGATCATAAAACACTTACTCCGTATTTTCCTTGTTTTTAAATCTAAACTCTAGAGTTGTTGCAATCGAACCTAGGAAACTCCAGTTTGGGATTGAAATTGAGTATTCTTAGATGCGACTAACTTCCATCTCCTCCAAGCGAGGTAGCAATTTCCTTCTTCTACCCAGCTCTAGCTTCCATTTTTGTCAGAATCGACAGAATTTGATCTGNGGGGGGGGGGGGTTCGGGTCAGAGCGAGGTGGGGTTAGGACTCGTCAAATTTACAAGCGGGACATCATAGCGGCTCCAAGTCTATCCATGACATTCATGAGGTTTTTAATGTCATGAGAACCCTCCCCTATTATTAGTTTATTACTATTATTATTGTTATCATCATCATCATCATCATCATCATCATCATCATCATCATCATCATCATCATCATCATCATCATCATCATCATCATCATCATTATTATTATTATTATTATTATAATATTCATAATAGGTACAAACGTGTATACAATTTGCCGAGGTGAACAGTGTACATATCATTTAATTAGAGAAACAAGGAGTAGCATAATTGTTACTCCGTATGTCTTAATTTAAAATATTGATGTTACCTTGTGTCAATTTAGGTTATAAAAATATCCATAATTTTTAGAACATTCTTTGGTTTCAAGTAAATTAATAAGAAAACATTTTTTTTCAATAAAATTGTATTTCGTATTATTTGTATTAAAAATGGAAAAAAATGAGTATAAATCACAAAATAGTGAAACGTGAAAAATTAAAATAATATATAAACTATAGTTACGAACATAATACATGAAAAATGTTTGATTTTTAGAATAATTATTTGAGGAGTAAAAAATATTGAAGAGAATGGATATTGTTAGAAAAATTAGAAGAAACTAGAAAAAATTAAAAAAAACCTGAAAAAATGGAAAGAAAGTAGAAAAATTGAAAGGAATTAATAAAAATCCAAAGTTAAAGAGTATATTCCTTAAAAGATGCTATAGTTTAGTGGAAATTTTATTATCGCCTCTTTGGTTAGAAGTGAACACGGGTCGGGATGGTTCAAGTTTTATACCGTTCTGCGTTTGGTCCCATTTTTTACAAACGGTTTGGGCCAAAAGTTTATCCATCTTTGCCCTTAATATTAGGTATCGAGATAAAATGAAACGAGTTCGGATTGTCCTACTTTGTCATTATTCGAAATTTGATATAAAAATATAAAATACATAAGGGCGATGCAACTCATTTTGACTTGTAAAGTAATGTAAAAAATAGCATATTTATTTATAATGATTTTAAGAAGTCAAAATAATAAAAAAACATGAAAAATGTTACTCCCTCCGTCTACCTAAGATCTTTTCATTGCACGTTACGAGGATTGACCGACTTTATTTTCAATTCAATTTATTTGAATATAGGCGTAAAATTTTAATATAAAATTTATGTAGTAATAAACTACATGAAAAATTTTACAAAACTAGAGGTGACAATAGTATATTATTTTATGAAATGAGTAGTAAAAATAAACAAACAAAGTGAATTAAGTTTGACCCTGTGAATAGTATCAGGAAAGATCTATGTAGGGGTGGACACGGTACGGTTCTGGAACCGCCGGTTCCGGTACCGCCACCCCATGTCACCGGAACCGTCACCGTGCCGGCCGGTACCGGTTCCGGTTCCCGGACCGGCGGTTCCGGTACCGGACCGGCCGGTTTCGGCCCCCTATATTTTTATTTTTATTTTTTTTGCTTTTTTTAAAATTTTTAAAGTATAAAATTGTAAATTTGCAATTGTTTAAGGAAAGAATGAAATAAAAAATCTAAAAATGTAGTTGTTATTTAAATATTTTAAATGAATAATACACTAACTGAAGAACAACCACATTTAATATCCTGACGGTTCAAAAAAAGCGACGAGGTAAAGAACCGTGAAGAAACCCTCGAAGGAGCTTATATATCGCTCACCTAAAAAAAACTAATTACATATTTACATTAACATAAAAAAAATTATAACTTATTCTTCAGAACTTGGACTTCCATCTGTTGTTGCATTCATGTAATGCTCCGATTCGAGTTGGTACGAAGCCTCTTGAGCTCGACGTCTTGCCAAGAGCCAATCTTGGTTACAAACCAGTGTTTCAAGAGATTCAGCGCTAAGACAACTTCGATAGTCGGTTAGAATGTTGCCGCCAGCACTGAATTCTCGTTCAACTGCTACGGTTGATACCGGAACGGATAACACTTGTCTTGCTAGCATGCCAAGACATGGGAACATGTGTTCGTTCCGCTTCCACCATCCGAGCACGTCAAAATCCACGTCGTCGTCATCGTAATCGCATGGCACACCCTGGTACATAGCAAGTTCGTTGTGCGAGCTTACTGTTGTACCACTTGAACTCGTCGAAGAATGAGCACGCTTCCCTTTCTTTGCAAGAAGACCACCGACTATTCTGGCAAAACCTTTTTTTGATTTCGGGGGCGGAGGTGGTACTGTTTCTTCTTGTACAGTGTCGTATAACCCTTGATATTCCTCAAACAAATTCTCAAAAAAAGTTACAGCATTATCTCTTTCTTTTTTCCATTCTATTAAATGACTGTAGTAATAACTATTTTCATCTAAAAAACAACTGTAGTAATACTCAATTAAAATTTTAAAATTTTCAATCTTAAAGCGTGGATCACAAATAATACCTATTTTATAAATATCAGAAATGTACAAATAATAAGCACACCATTTTTCTATCATAGGAGAGACATATGGGTACAAATCCGGATCAGCCTTACTTTCACGAAAACATGTTGCGATTGTAACGCAATCTTTTAAAAATGTATTTGTAGTTGGTTGGTAAACATGAGAAAAAGTAAGAGTTGCGTTATTAAAAACTTCTAATACGGCATTCAATTTTTCAACAATAACAAATTCAAAGGGATCAATGATTATACGAAGTTCATCCCTAAAAAATTCAGCAAGTTCCTCTTTATATTTTAGAATCTGATGAATCAATTTGTAAGTACTATTCCATCTAATGTGGATATCTTTGGCAAAAACTATTTCTTTTCTACCCTTAGACTTACAGAACATCTTCTAGGACCTCGAAACAAGACGAGCCCCCCAAATTCTTTTAATTCCTTCTTTAATATTCGTCAAAACTCCGCCCATAGCTTCTAGTCCCTGTTGAACGCATAAATTTAAAAGATGAAAGGCACACTGTTGATGCAGAAATCTACCCATAGACGTAGACGGTGGGCAAATTTCTCTAAGTCTAGGAATAGCTGCAGTATTATTAGTAGCATTATCAAAACCAAATGAAAACACTTTGTCAGATAAGTTCTATTCCCGCAGAATACTCTGAAGCAATAGGAAAATATTTTCAGCAGTATGCTGTTCATTGAAATCACGAAATGCAAGAACACATTTATGCATAATCCAATCACTATCTATCCAATGACAAGTAACACCCATATAAGACAAATTATGATAAGTTTCACCCCAAATATCAGAACAAATAGCAACACGAGAATTAAAATTGAGAAAAAAATTTGCCAAATTTATTTTTCCATTTTTATACTGACGAATAATTTCTCGTTTAATTGTTTTTCTTGAAAAACCTCGTGCTTGAGGGTTTAATGCCTGTTGACAATAATCAATAAAACCAAGTTTCTCAGAAAACATGTATGGCAAATTTTTTTCACAAATCATTTCGGCCATTTTTTGCTTATTTTGCTCGTCGCTATAAGCAAAAAGGCCGCCCTTACCTCTGTTAGCAAACCGAGAAATTTGGGTTTGCACTTCTTGTCGTCCATTCTTTTTTGCCTCGTATTTGGCGTACTCCACGGGATGCCTCGACCTTAGGTGTTTTTCTGGACCGCCATAACCGCCGGAAACTCCCATTTTTATGACGGTCCCGCAATGTTTACAAGTTCCATAAACTACGCCATCTTTTGTGTCTTTGTCAAAATGATAAACAAATAAATCTGATTTATATTTTTTTTACCTTTGTCCGGACCTCGAGAGGTCTCGGGCTCACCTGCCTCCACGTTGACGTCGTTGCTCTGCGGTGTAGGCTCCTCGTCCCCGTCTAGATTATCCAGCCCTGCTTCATCAACATCTTCGAATACACTATCAAGAGTGGGGAAATTAGCGTCTCCTCTACCAGAATAAATCTGGTCGTCGAATTCTTCATTCGTCATAGCGCCCCCGATTAAGTGATCGGGGATAGTAGGAAAGGAAGAGACAAAGTGTCTTCCTCGAGAACCGCGTACGCGTGAGGTCGAACCGTCGGAGGTGGATTTAGCTTTGCCTTTCCTCAAACTTCGGTTCACGTCGCCCATATCCACGGACCTTCGACCGGACTCTCTCGACATTTTAATATATATATTTTTGATATTAAAAAAATATATTACTTTTGGAAAATTAAAAAAATTTCGAAATTTTATATATTAAAATTTCGAAAATTTCAATAAGTAATAGAGAATATATTTAAAATATAAATTATATATTTTTTGATATTAAAGATATATTAAATTTTGAAAATTTTAAATAATTTCAAAATTTTATATATTAAAATATAATATATTTAAAAAAGAATGTATAAAAGAGATAATAAGATATTAAGATTGAGAAATTAAAATTTGAGATTTGAGAGATTGTTAAGAATGATTGAATGAATGAATGATAGATTGAGAGATTGAGATTTGAGAGGATGAGAGATGGATTGAGTTGAGTGTGATTTTTTTAGAAGAAAAATTTGGTATTTATAAAAATATTTAACTCCCC